GAACCCTCCTTCCCCAAAGTGATCTGCTCTGATCTACCCACGGAAGTGAACGGCCAAGCACAGACCCTGATCTCCTACGGCCCATGCTCTGGCTGAAGGTCAGGGTTGGGAGCCTGGTAGGGTACCAGGTAACCTCCCACAGCCAAAGCAGGAGCTCCTCACCTGTCGGGCTGTCTCTGGGCTGCAGTACCTGCCTACAGCACACAGTGCTAATGTAAGCCCTTCACACATACAAAAACTAACCACTGCTCATCAGGCTGCTGCTCTGCGGCTGCCAGCTGAGTGCCACTGAACCAGAAATGACATCTCTCAGTGGGGTCACAACAGAAACCTTATGAAATTTCCTTGGGTTTGTTTTATTTACCTTCTAACAAATCTCTTCACGGCCTTTGCTGATCCCCACTTCATTGCTGATCTGATTGCCTCAGTTACAAGCAATTTTGTATGTAACTATACTGTATTTTATTTTATTTAATATGAGTGTGATTCTGTGACAGCAGAGACCAGGAGCTGAGCTGTGCCTTGGCTGCGGAAGGGAGGGCAGGAGCAAGCAGGGCAAGTGATGGTGCTGAGTGCTGCAGAAGTGCACAGGTCACACCGTGATGGGTTTATCTCCTGCAGACAAACAGCATCAACAGTGCTGAACCAAACCACGCAAACACCCCCAGAGCACAAGAAATGAGGTCTGTGGCCCGTCCCACTCCCTGGGCCATGCCAGGGAAAATCAGCACCCTGTGAAGGGGTTGCAGGACCCACGGGAGCATCCAACTCCCCTGAGGAGCAGCACCCACCACTCCCTGCGTGGAGAAGGCACCTGGTTGGAACAGCATCTCTCCTAATTCACTGCTCTGCCCCCGGGCACAGATTGCAGGGGAGAAAAAACCCAGGCAATTAACCAGATTCATGCACATCTCAACCAGGAGCTGCAAAGTGATTTATAATGAAAGGCACAGGAACTGTCTCTTGGCACATCCACTGGAAAACATCCGAGTGGAGAACTAAACACACCAACACCAGCCTCTGCGCTGTCTGTTCAGCTACAGTCAAACTCAACATCGGAGACACGCGCTGCAGGCATTTACTCCCCTGAAGAGTGTCTGTGCTCAGGACACACACAGGAGGCACTGCCAATGGAAGCACAGGAATACGGGACGAGCTGCCCCTCCCTGTGTGCAGCGCAGAAACGTCCAAACCACCTCCAGCTCCCCCCTCTGAAAAGCTGAGAATCTCAAACAAGGAGCCCAGCAGCACTCAGCACAAGAGGGAAGGGGACAAGGCCTTCTCCCCGGACAGCTGCTGCTGGAAATGTCTGATGATGTTTGTGCTTCAGGTCAGTTAGACTTCCTGGAAAAACGCAGGGTTTAGTCCATTCCTGAGGCCCTGGTGCCCTCCTCCCTCCCTCCAGAGCAGACATGACCCTGGCTGGCACACAGGAGATCAAGCAATTATTTATACACTAATGGTCAATTTTGTCTTTCTAGACAGGTTTTCAACCCGAAGATTCCTCACTGACTCTTGCCATCACAGCAGAACATCATGCTGCCAGGGAAGTTCCTCCATGCCTGCAGAAGCTGCAAAAGTGGATTCAATGCACTTCTTTCTCCTTCCCTAAAGAAGTGACCTGGGCCAAGAGCTAGACCACCAGCTGGGCTAAAAGTCTATTCCTAGTAGTTCTTTTAGGAACTATGGCAACACCAAACCGAGCCATGGCAGAAGGGAACAGCATGGCTGAACGTACACAACGCTCCCCTTGCCCTTCGGGACACTCCTGCGAGGGAGAGCAACCCGTGGGCTCTCACTCCTGCTCACAGGGTAAGACCTGATGTGAACTAAGCCCATAAATGCAGACCAAAGTGTTTCCAGACTCTGATGCCTCCCTCACTGTGCTGAGTGCCAGAGTGGCAGCTCCTCCCCTCCTCTCCTTTGTGTTTTCACATCCCAACAATTCCCTCAGCCTCAAGGGCTGCACCAGCATCACTGACACTGCCCATACAGCAGCAGCACCCTGAGCCACTGATGCTGAAGTGATTTCTGTCCTGTTCTCCCACAAACCCCAAGAATTTGAACATTTTAGAGTCTCTGCAGGTTTCTGCTCTGAACTGAAGGGAACAGACCATCTCCAGCCAAACTAAGGTCTCCGCTTAAAACCACCAGAGCCATGGGATTCCTAGCAGGGGTTGCTGTGCTTCTTAGGAACAGTTCTAATGTACCATGCTATAGTCTCTTCTGGCTTTCTACAGTATTATTTCTTTGCAGAAATTGTTAAAACACCTCATTTAGAACAAGCACTGTGTGGCATTCTCAAATCCAATCAGTTCATGCTCACCATAATTAACTGCACATGCAATAAACACACTGACCTCTCCCCAGCTGGACCTAGAGGTTCCCAAAAAGTCCCTTCTCATGTTTTGAGCTCCAGACATCAGCTACACCAACAGTCCTGCTTTTCTCAAATGCCTCCATGCATCGCTCACCTGAGAATTTGGCCCAACATAAACATCTGCAGTAAATAATATTTCAAAACTATTCAGATGAGTACTTGAAAACAACAAGGCAGAAATACTGCAGAGGTATTTAAATAGTTCCTGCATTTTTACGTGTCATGATGTGGCACAGAATAAAAATCAAATTGCAGATGTGCAGTTGTGTTAGGGAATTTATTCCTGATGCAGCAGCAGCGATGGTTTTGCAGTCAAAACCTCGGACCATCACTGGCAGCTCCTGTTCCCTTAAACTAACAGGCATCAGAAACCAGATGAATCTGTGCCACAACTCAGGGGAAGGATGGGAAGGGGCGGGAAGGGATGAGAAAAGCAGTCCATGGCCGGCACAGTGCAGCAGGACCTTACAGCAGACCAAGCACTCAGACCACGCTGGGATCTCTGGACAGCAGAGTGGGACTGGGGAAGTAAGAAAAGGGTAATACTTTAATTTAAGGTAATAAGGTTCTGCTGCTCAGCAGCCAATTTAGCAGCACATTAACAGCAGCCTCAGTGAATTCTAATTACTGGTGTAGGTGGAAACACCCTCAGTGATTCCAGCTCCTAACCAGGGACACTGACCTTCTTCCCCAGGACATCAAGGCTGCTCACAATGATGAACAGGGGGAACCCTGTCCCCCCTCCCTGTGTCCAGCAAGGGGAATTCAGTGCCATTCCCTGATGTGGCTCTTCCCACCAGCTGGAGCATGTGGTCACACACTGGGCCGATTCCATGAACTAGGACGGAGATGGAGAACAGGAATGATGAGCAGCAGGATGAGATCACAGGCAATAATGACCTCCAAGATATCCAAATTAGCAGAATTTGATCTCACTGGAGCCCATCAAAGCTTCCACTTGACTGAAACTGGTTTCACAAAACTCCCCAACTAGTGTGCAGGGGTTGAGCTCAGCCCCACAGGCCACCTGTGATGGGAAGGTGGTCCCAGCCCGAGTGGTCCATGCTGGGAGCTGCTGGGCTCTGGCTGTATTCACATTCCTTTTTGCATCCTCATGACACATCAGCATTCCCTCCCCTCCTGTGTGACATGCATTTATGTAAAATGGAATGTCCTCCTATCCCCATTAAATAAAATATTAACAAGTCAAGTCATTAATGTCATTCTGCATAAAATACACTAAAACCCATTCCAGGGGAGTTCTTGTTAAACTGCTTCTTACTAACCACAAGTGACAGCACAGAACGAGAAGTATTTATAAGGCATACAAAGAAATTATGAGCTGAGATGGAAAATGAAACTCAGCTCTTTGCCTGATTCTGCAAGACAGTGCAGTGCTGCCAATTTACCTGGGAACACAAAGGCCCCAGGTGACAACATCCCTGTGTCCTGTACTGCAGAGCCTGCTGTGCTTTGTTTTGGCAAGTCAGAGTGCAGAGCTTGCAGGATTTGGCCCAGCCCCAGCACCAGGCAGAGCCCCTCACTAAGCACCTGCCCCTGTGGAGCTCACCTGCCCCAGGGAGGGAATGGGAGAGCTCGGCCATGGGGGACGCCAGATGTGAACTAAAACTGGTGGGATGTGACCTGATGGAGCAAACCTGCTGTTCCTCCTCCCCGTGCCTGGCACAGGCTGGGGAGGGCAGAGAGCTGCCAGGCAGAGCTATGCTGACACCTCCAACCCAGCCATGGCCACTCTGTGTTGCTGAACTGGCACAAGCTGTTGCGGCAGAGCCTGGAATTCAGGGCTTGGGACTCACCGGGTTTTGTCTTTCTGTGATCAATGCTAGGGTGCAGGGGCAGCCAGGGGAGGCAGCTCTGCAGCAAGAAAACCCCTAATTTCTTCCTCTTTCAGGGTATGTCCACATACTTCCCTGCCCAGTAGGAGCAGAGGGGATTCCAGACCAGCCCTGGGAGCAAATGGTCCTGGAGCAGCTCTGTGCCACAGCTGGAAAGCCACTCAGAGCTGCTCAGAGGGAGCTGGCAGGACCCTGCCCTCTGCTCAGCCAAGGCACAGGGGTATGTGCCCGTGTGCTCCCGTGTGCTGCAGCTTTAACTCAGCACAGACTGCAGAAACAGTGCTCAATTTTTGGTTTTTTTTTTTGCTCCTCTTTCTCATTTCTGAGAAGAAAATAAGACTTCAAAATTGCAGGATGAGCACTTGGTGAGGAGAATCAATGTTTTTGTTTCCTATAAATATCAGTTGTCCAAAAATAAATCTCTATTCTTATTTCTCCAAATACACATTCATATTTATCAATAAATATTTTATTACAGCCATTATCAAAACATCAAAGGCTGCTGAAATGTTGTACTTCAACTGACACTGCTTGTTCCAAGCTCACACAATGCATCAAATGTTCGTCTCCCACACTAGTCAAAATAGAATTAATATTTAAGCTGTGATGGGAGAAGCCACTAGGGATGCAGGGGAAGGCGACGACTTTGTGTTCCAAGGAAAACCAAGGCAGCAAAGGCAGAGCAGAGCAGGGAGTGCATGGGCCCACAGTCCCCACTGTGGCCACATCCTGCCAACTCTGACCCACTGGACACGATGGTGAGACAAGGTGACAGCCTGGGATGGGCCACCACCAGGTATCTCTGAACTGCCACTGTTACCTGCCAAGGTGAGGCTGTTTGCTCGGGCAGAGACAGATCTCGTTCTGTGCTGGTCACTGCAGAGATCTGCCTTCGACACCTGTAAAGATCTGCTCTAGGCTCTCAACTAAGCACATCCTGGATGGACACAAACGGACAGATGCACATGGCCTAGTTAAGAAAAACTGTGAGAAAGAAGATTTCCTAGCTGAGCAGGCTCCGGGACAGCCTCCTTGGCTCCTCAGGCCTGGCTGCACACCTGGCTGGCACTGGGGAACACTGAGGACCCCAGACTGCAGCCCCCAAAACAGCACCCTGATGTGTCCAACCAAAGGACACAGCTCTGTTGTCCCCCTCCTGCCACCCACAGACACTGCTGGGACCACACTGGATCCACCTGCAAACTCCAACCATGCACAGCACCATCGTAAAGGTAAAAACCAAGGCAGGCTGATGAGGCTGTGAACGCCTCCAATTTCAACTCTCCCAGGCACAAGCCAAATGAATAAAACACTTCACAATTGATTTATTTACAGTTAATGACATCCTCAGCCACCCTTGAGCTTGGCACAGTTCAAAGTACTGAGCACTTCCATGTTACTGTCCCAGGTTTTATTCCCTGCGTATTTCCAGCAGCGGGCAGTGACTCAGCCACATGAATCATTGATGGCACCGTGAGTCACACTAGGTAGCACAGGAGGATCTGGATAACCATTACAAGGTTTATGGGAGATCAAGAAATGCACAATACACTGTATAGTCATTAGTATTTAAAGGAAAATTATTTCATTTAGCAAGGAAAAAAAACCAGGTATTTTAGAACGCTATTGCAGAGCCTCACTGGCAAACCAGACCTCTGAATCAAACCTGCCCTTCCTCCTCGGCCGCCTCAGCCAGGTCCCTGTGTGCGCACAGGATCATAACCCAGACCTTGCAGACAAGAGGCTCGTGCCTCTCCTCTACCTACACCCCCGGGGAAACAGGTGCTTTGTCAGGACTCAGTCGTGGATGCATCCTCAGCCAGTACAAATCGCACATCTCCACCACAGGCTCGGGGGAACTGGGGGATGCCAGGGGGCTCCGGCCACTGAGGCTACTGGCCTGGCTTGTGGCTGTGCCTCCCAGAGGAGTGCAAGTCCCAAATCTGTGTGACCCCAGGGCACAGCCCCCACAGGGACCCTACAGGTGCCAGAGCCCCTCCCCATGGAGACAGGATAGACGGACAGACAGACAGACGAAGGAAGGCTGTTCTCCCT